GCATTGATATTTGTCAAAAATCAAACGAATTCAGGATAATAAGGATCAGTTCTGATGTAAAAAATAGTCCTAAAAGCTGCAAGGTCTAACCTGAATTCAAAAGACTGATGTCGCTAGTGGAACTGTCCAAGTGAGTATGACGAGCATTAGCATGTTGAACATGCCCATCCCCTTTAGAAGAATTATTCAAATGATGGAATATACGCAGCTTCTCGGATGGAGAAATTTTATTAGGCTGGCAATGAATTGAAATTAATGGCTGGCAAGAAGCATTAAGCTTGGCTTTAGTGATAATTGATGGAATAATAGCATATTCCTCCATTGGATTTAATGTACCAGAGAAAACAAAGTAAGAAGATGGATCAATTGCAGGTTCAGCGTATAGAGAAGAATAGTCACCATACATGTGTTCACGATAATACACATTAGAAATATTTGAAGAATGATTAAACTTGTTAGCGTAAGAAATATAATCCAGAGAAAGGGGATCCTTTGCTGAGAAATTAAGATGATGCAAAATATCCTCTGTCATTGCGAACTTGTAAGGCACTCAAGATGCACTAAATAGTGAGCATGCATCATAATTCAGATATTAAAATAAACGTTAAAATAAGGATAAATATAAACATTTTTCTAATTGGACAGTAAACCAGGGTGCGAAGTAGACACAGGGCGAACCAACGTAGGGGTTATCCGAAAAAGCTAGGCGGAGCAGACGAGGTAATTATCGTTTATTTTGTATATATTCAAACAAGTAAACAAATAAATATACTTTTACAAAATGGTATTATATTATTGGAAAATTTAAACTAAAATAGAATAAAATTAAACATGGTAATTATTAGTCGCATTTTATATTTATTTATTAGCGCACTGTAATCAAAGCATCTCTATGCTTCCGCTCCACGAATCAGATGTTAAAGTTGGTAAATTGGTCCTCTATTAAATCTCTACTTAAGCCATTAGAACCAAAGAACCCGATCTGCCCTATAATCCTAGCGCAGAAGCTCTCTTTAGTGCATTATCTAATTCAGTTAGTATATTTGGAGCTTTACTGTATAGGTTTGGAAACAGAGTAAATTGAAGGCTGAAAAAGTCATAAAAACATATGCAAGTATTGACTCCCTCAGACAATATTTTGATGTTGAACCAGGAGATGCACTCACTAGAGTCATTGCGTCTTTTAACCCTCTTACTGTGTCCAAAGAGGTAAACTGATTACCTTATGCTATTATAGATTTACTCTGAGCTGTATGGACCCGTTATGATATGCTTTTCTCTTGTGGCCGTTTTACTCTTTGAAATGAAAATGTCTGAGCTAAAATTGGTTAGTCACTACTTAACGTTTTACTCATCTTATTAGCAAGAAGGTACCCTAATGGGCTCAGCTATCCTTACCTCTTTGGGATATTGGATTGGTGTATCCTTTTTATTTGCTTCGCTGGCATATATCACATCAGTCAACTTGCAGATTGTTCAGTTTTTGACTTTATTCGTTAGTTTATTTACAATAATTATTACCTTTTTCTCTAATATTTACCTGATTAAACAACTCTGCTTTAATTTATCAGGGCTACGCATTGAGTTCTCACTGCGTCGTAATACTCCTTTCTTGTTTGGCCGAGAGTTTCTTTTCCCACGCCGCTTTTTTTCTTCTATGGACTATCTTCGGTGGTTTAACTGCATCAAGAATGGTACCGATTGTTTATCTAGATATATGAAACAAGTCGTTATTATTTAATCTATTTGTATCTTTTATTTGTTGGTGTAGGCCATTTTGCTTTGGGTGAATTTGCCACGTGTCCATCGCATTCCAATGACTATTCTAGCTGTGTCTCTTCATCTTCTTTTTCTTTGCTATCTACACTTTGCTTATCATAAGGTCATTATTGGTGAGTTCTTTATTTTGCATGCTGATTTACTTCCGTTATCCTTCTTATAATGCTTTCCGTGCACTTACTTTTACTTTTGCAAACGAGTGAATTTGACATTTGACCTGTTGTATTTTAAAATGTAATCTGAACTGTTTTTAACTGCTATTTATATTGATTTCCTTTTTAGCCATTACTCCAGGTATCGTATCATTTCAACAGGACCTTACAATTTCTCAAGTTCATGTTGGACCTACTTCTATTCTTCCTTGATTTATTATCTATAATAAATCATATATTATTAACTATCCTCTGCAAGTATCTCCTTCTGCGCTAAATTATTATCTCTTTCTGAGGAAGCTTGCTTTATCAGTATTTTAAATTATTCATGAAATTTCCCTTTGGATGGCATTCATAATATTTATGAAATGGGCAGGTTCATAAATGTTAAATTTTCTTAATTAATGTTGGAATAAGTTCTTAATTAACAAAATCTCTAACGTACTGATCTTTCTCTACACTTTTCCCATTCAGTCTAGTTTTGTTACATCACGTACTTTGCCATTGCTCAACAGCCTTGGACACAGGTAGCGTGAGACTATGACTGATCTTCACTCTTTTTCGCATCAACCATTAAAGCTCGGCATCATATTGTCCAATCAATAGTTAATATGGAAAACTTCCCAAGGCTATATCAAGTAGTTGACATATCGTTTGGGTAAGTCACGTTTTCTTCCACTGTGAACTGTGGAGTTTAGACATTTTTATTTCGCGCCGCCTCAGATGATTGTCTTTCTATTGCCAGCCCACACTGTATTTAAGCCGTTTCTAAATATTATTAATTCTTTCTTCGTTTCGGGGCAACTTTGGAGTTTAAGAGTTAAAGCCTTTTATATGCTAGACAGTCTCACTCTTTTGAAAGAGAAAAATTGTGTTCATCTGTGCCCTTGTATGGTTACGATTTTAATCCAGATGGGGATTCAGATGACCTCTAGGCGGAGTTTAAACCTCAGCTAATTTAAACTAAGCTGTAAATCACTGGGAATCGGAATATTCCAGGCCTCTTCTAGTTGCCACACAGGCTTACATGGTGTGACTTCCGTTTGATAAATTGCTTTGCTTTTGCGCGTGGCTCATCCTTTGTTCGCAGTTGTTCTTTTATAAATGGGAAGAGGCTTGGTTTTAAAATATCCCTTAACAGGTTACTGTTGTTTGATTCTCGTTTCGTTCGCATAGTTAAGTGGAAAGAACTTTTAAAT